AAAATATTTTTAGGGCAAGCTCCTAAATTGTGTGCATAACCTTCTTCACCACACCTATTATTAAATGAGCTCATTCCCTTCACAATTGTCTTAACAAGCATGGTCACGTCATAACCTTGCTTCAACCTTGGTCATTGCCCTTTCAACAGAGAAGCACCACATCACTCCCCAACCTAAGCATATCCCCCAAAAGTCCTAGAAAACCATTCCTCAATGTGATAGACTCTTGCTGGCGGCCCCAACCCAATTGGGCCTCAAATCGCCAAGCCTTGGCTGATTCTGCTATATATAGGCTTTGGCAAAGATGCCACAGGAGGCAAATATGATCTTAAAAAACTTTATAAGAATAAAAAATAATAGTATTTTAAAATTTTACAAAAAAATATTTAAGACCATTTTTTATAATATATTTTATTAATAATTTTAATATTCTATAATAAATAAATAAAAGTAAAATACAATGATATTCAATATATGTATCTAATATAAGTAAAAAAATAATAAAAAAATAATATTTTTTGATATTTTAGGAAATGTAAAAAAAAAAAAAGAACTACACTCTAATATGTAAAACACATATTAACCACTAAAATAGAAATAAATTGTTATTTGTCTATACATAAACGAACATGTGACCCTATACTTTGTCAAAAAATCGACACATGAATTAACTTTTTTAAAAATATATTTAAAGTTAATAATTCTATTAAAAGAATCAAAGTGATAAATTCTCTTTATGGGCAAGGGCAAGTAATATAGATAAAAGTGTTGTCATTTCTCTTTATCATCTTTAAAAGTCATTAAAAAAAAAAAAACTAATTCACAAACAAAATTGTAAATATCATCATGTGAAATTTTCTGAAAATTAAAAAAAAAAAAATATATATATATATATGGTTTGATATAAATAAATATTAAAATATAGTAACGCAGCGCAGGCGCAGGCACAGGCACGATTGGTGTGATATATATTCGTATTGGCAGTAGTGTCTAGGCGCTGACATTTGGTTTATATACGCGAAGCTGCCATTTGCAGTCTTTCACTCACCAATTTCATTTTGCTTCTGAATTTGAGAAAAGTCGCGAAAATGAGGGAAGAGGTTATCAGCTCGGGAGGCACCGTTGATCCCACACCTGCTGCCAGGTACTCTACTCCCCTCTCTCCCAACCATTCAATTCTTCCCTAATTAGGGTTTCCTTTTCCCTGCATTTTTGCTTTTCAATTCCCTCGCTTTCGCCCTCTGCACCGGATTTCAACTTCAATTGGCCACTGAAACACACTAGTATTGTTGCTGCTGCTCCTGCACCTCCATAATTCGATCTAATTAAAAAAAAACGCGGTGTCGTGTTGTTCTTGTTGCGAGTTGTCTGCGTTGACATAAGCATAGATTTTATACTTGGTCTCCCAATAACCCAAAGGGGACATGATTATATTTTTGTGGTAGTGGACAAATTTTCAAAAATGGCTCACTTTATACCATGCCACAAAATAGATGATGTTAGCCATATCTCAAGACTCTTATATTGGAATGAGCTTAGAAGTGCCTTGTGTAGAAGACACATTCCTTTTTATTATGAGAGAGAGTTAATGACAAACTCCAAAGATTCCAACAAAGAAATCAAAGTGTGGAAGAATATAGGCAGCAAATGGAGTTACTCATGATGAGAGCTGGAATTAGGGAAGAGGAAAGGACCACCATTGCAATGTTCCAAAGTGGTCTTAACATAGAAATCAGGGATAAGGTTGAGCTATTACCCTATAGAGACCTTAATGAACTAGTTCAATTTTGTGTGAGGGTAGAACAACAACTTAGAAGGAAGCCCAGCCTTAGGAAAGAATCTACCTCATACCCAAAGAAGGACTTCAAGAGGGAGGGTCACACCTCCTATTCAAAGGAAAGATCACTAGAAAAATAAAAAGAAAAACAAAAGAAAAAATCTTCCAATGAAATTAAGACTAGTTCCATTAAGTGTTTTAAGTGCTTAGGAAGAGGATACATAGCTTCCCAATGCCCCACAAATAAAACAATGATCATTAGGGGTAATGAAATCCTAAGTGAGGAAAACACTTCATCTTCATCATCCTCAAGTGAAGAAGATGCAAGCCTTAGTTCTAGTGAGGAAGAACCATGTGGTGGTGACCTATTGGTTGTCTAAAGGTTACTTACCAACCAACTTAGTGAACAAGATCAATCACAAAGAGAGAATCTTTTCCGTTCTAGATGTAAAAATTTTAAGAAAACTTGTTCTCTCATTATTGATAGTGGATCTTGCACTAATTTTGTAAGTCAAAGGTTGGTTGATAAGCTTCACCTAACTACTATAGCCCATCCTAAATTTTATAAACTTCAATGGCTTAATAAAGATGGACCTATAGAAGTTAAGAACCAAGTAAATGTTCCTTTCTCCACCGAAAAATATAAAGATGAAGTTTTATGTGATGTAATTCCAATGGATGCAAGCCACATTTTACTTGGTAGACCTTGGCAATATGATAGGAAGGTCATTCATGATGGTGTGACTAATAAGATTCGCATAGTACACCTAGGCAAGAAACATACCTTGACTCCTCTTTCACCATCCCAAGTGTTGGAGGATCAAGTATTTATGAAAAAAAAATTAGATGAAGAAAAAAATGAAAAGAGATAAAAAAAAACCCCCCAAGTCTTGAAAAGGAAGAAGAAAAGGTGATAGAGTTGGAAGGTAGTGTCCCTTCTAAGGAAGTTGTTCCTAGAAGTCAATTTTCCATAAATCATTCCATTAAACAATGTTTTTTAGATGAACAACCTCTTTACCTTCTCTATGTTAAAGAGACACTTGTAACCACAAGTTTTGAACTCAAGTCTCTACCTAAAGGGGTTCAAATTATTTTAAAGGAATTTAATGATCTATTTCCCAAAGAAGTTCCAAGTGGATTTCCCTTCTTAAGGGAAATAGAATATCAAATTGATTTCTTTCCCGAGGCAAGCTTACCCAATAGGCTAGCCTATAGGACCAGCCTCCAAGAAACAAAGGAAAAAGAGACTCAAGTTGAAAGCTTGATGAAGAAGGAATGTGTTCAAAAGAGCCTAAGCCCTTGTTATGCTTGTTCTTCTAGTTCTAAAGAAAGACGTAACTTCGAGAATGTGCACAAATTGTAGAGCCATTAATAATATAATTGTAAAATATAGGCATCCAATCCCTAGACTAGATGATATGCTAGATGAGTTGCATGGACCACTCATATTCTATAAAATTGATCTTAAAAGTGGTTATCACTAAATAAGGATTAAGGAAGGGAATGAATGGAAAATCACTTTTAAGACCAAATTTGGATTGTATGAATGGTTAGTCATGTCTTTTGGCTTGACCAATGCTCCTAGTACCTTTATGAGGTTAATGAACCATGTCTTAAGAGATTGTATAGGTAGGTTTGTAGTTATTTATTTTGATGACATCCTTATCTATAGCAAAAGCCTTAAAGAACACATATGACACCTTAGAAATGTCTTAATCATTCTTAAGGACAATCATTTCTATGCGAACTTAGAGAAATGCACCTTTTTCCAAGAAAGTATAAATTTTCTAGGATTCATGGTTGGTAAGAAGGGAGTCAAAATGGACTCCTAAAAGGTTAAGGCTACCCAGAAATGACCTACCCCCTAAGAATGTAGGAGACACTAGGAGTTTTCATGGCTTAACAAGCTTCTATAGGAGGTTTGTTAAGGACTTCTCCAACATAGCATCTCCTCTTAATGAGTTGGTTAAGAAGGATGTGCCTTTTATATGGGGGGAGAAACAAGAAGAGGTTTTTCATAACTTAAAGGACCAACTTACCAATGCACCCGTTCTAGCTCTTTAAAACTTTTTCCAAACTTTTTTGAGCTAGAATATGATGCAAGTGGTATGGGAATAGGTGCAATTTTACTTCAAGGTGGCCACCCAATTGCATATTTTAGTGAAAAACTTAGTGGTCCTACCTTGATTTATCCCACCTATGATAAAGAGCTTTATGCTCTCATTAGGGCCCTTAAAATTTGGGAACATTACTTAATGACTAAGGATTTCATTATACACACTAATCACGAGTCACTTAAGTATTTGAAGGGATAAGGTAAATTAAACAAAAGACATGCTAAGTGGGTCAAATATTTATAACAATTCCCATATGTTATTAAATACAAGAAGGGGAAAAGTAATGTGGTAGCCGATGCACTTTCAAGAAAATACACATTACTTACTTCTTTAAGTTCCCAAATTCTTGGATTTGATAATATTAAGGAATTGTATGAACAAGATCTAGATTTTCAATCCACTTATGCAAAATGTCTTAAGAAAGCCTTTGGTGGATTCTATATTTGTGATGGGTATCTATTTAAGATGGGTAAGGTATGCATACACAAAGGATCCATCCGAAAGCTTTTAATTAAGGAAAGTCATGAGGGAGGTCTCATGGGTCATTTTGGAGTTGGTAAAACTCTAAGTTTTATAAAAGAAAGATTTTATTGGCCACACATGAGAGCAGATGACCAAAGGTATTGCTCTAAATGCATAGATTGTTTACAAGCTAAATCTAATGTTATGCCTCATGGATTTTACACACTTCTACCAATAGCTAGTTCCCCTTGGGTTGACATAAGCATAGATTTTATACTTGGTCTCCCAATAACCCAAAGGGGACATGATTATATTTTTGTGGTAGTGGACAAATTTTCAAAAATGGCTCACTTTATACCATGCCACAAAATAGATGATGTTAGCCATATCTCAAGACTCTTCTTTAACTTCTAATGTCTACTTATTTTTTCTCCAACTACCTATGTAAAGTTAATATTACATTTAAAAGGGCAATATGTTTCTAACGAAATACTATAAAAAAATAGAGGGTAGAATAGGAAAGTAAGTAATAAATATTTTTGAAAACTAAAATATCAATCATTTCCTTAAGTCCCGTGCAAAACCTTAAACGACTATGAATAAAAAACGGAGGGAGTATTTGTATTATCTCCTAATGATCTCTCAACTCGCATTAGGGAGCCCTGAAAGCTCCCCAGATTCCAGAAGCCAAATAATGGCAGCTGAAATTTGGTGGGATTGTGCAGTTATTTATTTCTTTGATACATTTGGGTTGAGAGTAACACTCATTGCTTTGACACTAGTAGGGGTCCTGTTGAATGTGTCCAGTGATGTGAAATTCCCTCTTATTTGTCTACAGAAATTAATTTTTATCCATGATGTGTCACATTTGCATGAAGTAATTGTCCAAGGAAATTATCTTGATGTGGGAAGAACAAGCTTTAGCTATTGTGCATGTATAGATGGATAATATGTTGTACTTGCTACTTTAAATCATGTAAGTAGATATGATGGAAGTCTTCAGGGATCCCATGTTCTCTTTAATTCCTTCCAGATCATCAGTTCATTGGCTTGTGCTCAGAAAGGCTGGATGAATAATGGTGTAGACAAAATTGTTTGCGAGTCTTGTGGTGCTTGCTTGAGTTTTACAGCATTGCCATCTTGGACATCAGCTGAAGGTTGGTGATTGCAAATTTTCAATCCAAATACTTTTGGCTATGTCATCCTGTTTCCAAACTATGTTTTCTCTAAAATGAGGCATGTTGATAACTGGGGTAGAAATTTTAAGAACACTGGATGCTTTCATATGGATCATGGACATTAAAAGGCGTTCTTTATTGAGGTACCTTATGTATAGGGCCAAAGAAGGAGTCCGAGGAGTTTGAAAAAAAAAATTATAGGATGAAATTCGTGACTGTAGCTTTACTTTCATAGAAGTGCTGTCTATTGTTAACTTGTAAATTCCCTAACATAAATGTAGTCCTTTCTCACTTTGTGCATAAGTAGAACTTTAAAACCAATGATGTTGTCTATATGAAGTTTAATATGTCCAAAAATGCATGCTGCAAAATGTTGTATAATTTATTGTCTATGAAACGAAATTCAAGATTTAATACATATTAATTTGTCAATTTGTATGAAATATTTTATGGGGATAGGATTGTGTTTTTTATTTCTCTTGGGTGTTCAGCTCATGTCTGTTACAAGGGGGGGTGGAGTGCTATTTTTGATATGCAGAGACCAGGGTTGGTTGCTATATTCTTAAGTGATTCCCCCTTGTTCCTTGTATTTATCTGTTTTGTGTTTTAGTTTTAGAAGATTTTTTTATTCTCCTCCCAAACCCAGTTATTTTCTTCACTTGTATCTGTATCTAATGCAATCTATTTTTTCTGTTAAATAAATATAAAAATATGTTAATTTCTATAGATCATTGTGGAGACTGTCCCATCCAATAGTCAATATAAGGTTTGGTGGTTTTTACTTTATAGTTGGTTGAGAAATAGTTACCATGATACCAGTTAGCTTGTAAGTATAATAATAATGCTGTAACTTGTACCTCTTTGTTTCAAGGTCCCTATAGGCTATAGCATATAAAACAAAAAGACTTCATAAAAATTAAAAATAGAGGCACAATATGTAAGTTGTGTATACATGATAAGTTATTACTCTTTATATATCTAAGCAACTCTTATTCAGTTCAAATCATTTGACATCTTTTTATATTTTTCCTTGAAACAGTTAGAAAGTGATAATCTTATTTTGATCTAGTTTCCAAGCAAAATTTATCCGTTAATTAGGCAATAGGGACTTTTATGTTTGTTGCTGATTATATTCATCAGTTGTTTTTAACTTTTTTTCTTAATTGTCATGGCCAAAGCTCAAAATGCCAGTGAATCCTTTGCCAGGCAGCTGGATTCAGGGCATAAAGTTAATTGCCCTTGGAAAGGAAACAGCTGTCCAGAAAGCTTAGTGCAGTTCCCTCCAACTCCTCCATCTGCCTTAATTGGTGGTTACAAGGATAGATGTGATGGCCTCGTACAATTTCACTGTCTTCCTGTGGTAGCCATCTCTGCAATTGAGTTGATGTCTGTTTCTCGGGGCCCACAGATTGAACGCTTTCTATCACAGTCTCAATGTTTTATGTCAGGAGAAGTAGACATCAAGCCAGAGATTATATCTGAGTTAGAAAACTCTCAAGATGAGGCATACTGTTTATATTCTCGTGTAAGCTTTTTATATTTTTTGACGTCTTGTTGATATTTTTGTTGCTACACTGTCACATGCTTATTTTCCTATTTTTCTATGATTTTATCTTCCTATTGGCAGGCACAGAAGATTATAAGTCTTTGTGGGTGGGAACCAAGTTGGCTTTTAAATGTTCAAGACTGTGAAGAACACTCTGCTCAGTCTGAAAGAAATGGACATTCATTTGGCCCAAGCAAGACTCAACTCCATCTTACACAAGATCATGGATCAAAGGCAGTTTCTGCTTCTACTAAATTGGATGCCAGAAAGGCAAAGGCATCTCTTAAGGAGTCTAGACTTGACTCTAGGTCACCTTTGCTTGATTGTAGCTTATGCGGTGCTACAGTTAGAATTTTGGATTTTTTGACAGTTCCCCGTCCTACTCGTTTTTCACCTAATATTATCGATATTCCTGATACGAGTAAAAAAATAGGATTAACTCGAGGAGCAAGTGCAGCTAGTGGAATCAGTGGTTGGATTGCAGCTGATGATACAGAGAAAGATCAAACTGAAGACCGTGACGAAGTTGCAACAACAAATGAGGGGAAATCGTTGGCGAACACAGATTTAGACTTAAATCTGACCATGGCAGGGGGTTTTCCTTTTACTTCTTTGGGCAGGACAGCAACATCTGAATATACTCGAGATGAAGATATGGGAAGGGATTTAATGATTGGCCAGCCTTCAGGGAGTGAGATTGGTGATCGTGCTGCTTCATATGAATCACGGGGGCCAAGCTCTCGTAAGAGAAATCTTGAAAAAGGTGGAAGCTCAGATGACCGACTAGTTCTTAGGTTGCAGCAGCAGGCTGATAGTGTTGAAGGAACTGTCATTGATCGCGATGGTGATGAAGTTACAGATGGTGGACAATATTCAGCTGGTCCTTCAAAACGTGTGCGCGACTCTGATATCTTTGACACATATTGTTCACCTCATCAAAGAGACTCATCTGGTGCTGGTCCAAGTCATTCAATGGGTTTTGAGGCGCATGTTGCTGGCAATCGAGCTTCTTCGTTCCATCAAGGCAGTAGCCTCCCAATAGGTATCCAATCAGCTAGGGACTCAACCCGTGCATCATCTGTCATTGCAATGGACACAATATGTCATAGTGTGAATGATGATTCTATGGAAAGTGTTGAGAACTACCCAGGAGACCTTGATGATGTTCATTTCCCCTCCTCCAGCACATATGGCAATGTGGACATGAATGAAACATCTGAACTGAATAACAGCAATCAAGCTCAGCAAAGCACTTGCTTACAAACAGCTACTGAAGTTGTCCCTGGTGAAGTGGGCATCAGTAGTACAAACTATGGGGAAGAACTTTTCAATGCAGAAACTGTGACTGCTCAGGCTCGAGATGGAATTAGTTTGGGCATCAGTGGAGGGAGTGTTGGAATGTGTGCTAGTCATGAAGCTGAAATCCATGGGGCTGATATATCTGTGCACAGAGCTGATAGTGTTGTTGGTGAAATGGAACAGAGAGTAGAGGATGCTGAAAATCAAGGACAGACAGGTGAATCTGTTCCAGATCCAGGTCTGATGGATGAGATAATCCCTGATGATATGAACAGGGAAGATCCTATTGGTGATAGCCAGGAGATGATGTCTCACTCTGCAGGAAGAACAGACAGTGGGTCAAAAATTGGCTGTTCTACAAAGGCAGAATCAGTTGAAAGTGGTGAAAAGATTAGTCAAAACTGCAATCTTCTACCTGCTAATAGTAGTCAACCATCTCGTTCTTGTAATGCTAATATTTATTCTGGTGGTGAAAATACCAAGGATGAGATCATGAAGGATGGTAAATCATCATTTGCCAACAATTGTGCTGTCCTTGAATCAGATTTTGCCATTGCAAATGGAATAGGTAAGCTCTGTATTTTAATGGTTTTGAACTTTTTTGCTTTTTTACATTACCTGTTAGTGCCACAGCAGTCGATTAAGAATAAATACATTTGAGAAAGTAGGTGTAGCATCTGTTGAGGAAAAGATGGTAGCCTCTCACCCTTTAGTGGCTTGGTCATGTGAGTGAAAATCAATGGAAATGCTAATAAAAAGAGTGAATTATGGAGGTTAGTCCAATAATTAAAGGTGTGAAAGACCTAGAAAAACACTAGGTGAGTCAACTAAAAAGGACATTGGTCTAAATGGATTTTGAATGCAATTTTGTTGTTTGATCCATGCAATGAGCTTCACCTAGTGGGAGAAGTTTTTTTTTTCTTTTGTGGTTTTTGTTGAAATGTTAGCATGAAACGTCCTTTTCAGTCTCCTGCTTTTGTTGTATTCCACTTTCTATGTTTAACTGTCGTGGTGTGTTACATGTTGCTTAGTATTTTTTTTTGTTTCTTTCCTTTTATTCTTTGTATAGTTTTGAGTATTTCGTATAATATTTTATTTATGCCTCTGCTTTCTTTCTTAATAAATTATTTAGTTATAAAAAAAGTAGGATCCTGATTTTTGACATTAGTGAACATGAACATTTTCCAATCAAATTCAAATTAAGAATCACATTGCACGGTATTGGTCTATGGGATTTTCTTCTGAAATAATGGCATCAAAATGACAACCTTGTTCGTGTCTTATTTTTAAATCTCATTGACTCATTGACATATAATGGTTGAATTGAAAGGGTTTTAAGTTGAGAATTTGGTGCAAAGAAATCTCTATCAATGACATGACAAGAAAATCCTAAACCCTAAACCCTAGGGTTTATTGTTTGCATCCTATTTTTAAATCTCATTTGACTCATTTACATATAATGATTGAATTGAAAGGGGTTGTAAGTTGGGAATTTGGTGCAAAGAAATCTCACTTATCAATGACATGACAAGAAAATCTCATTCTTTCTTCCTTTCAGATTGTCTAGTAGTTTTCCAAATCTTTAGAATATGTTGCATAATCAATTAATTCTCTAATTGAGGAAGCAATCATGTGAGTTCCTTATTTGTTTTGTTTCATGATTTGCTTTATATAATCAAGGTAGGAATTGGGCTTGTGCTCTTGTAGTTGACTTAATTGTTAGTCTTAAATGAGTGCTAGACTGCTAGTGCTTAATATTCTAAAAACGCCATGTAAATCCAATTTCATGGAGATCATGAGTTCAAGTCTTGGAAACAACCTCTCTGCTTGTGGCATGATATAAGGCTGTGTACGTCTACTCTTCTGAGACACCACTTAGTGAGAATCTCATGCACTGGGTTGTCCTTTTTATGTCAATCTAGTTCATTTATATTTCTATTCTCTTTTCCTTCTTTACCTAAACCCTCTAATTCAATAACATAAAAAGGCATGTACGTTCTTCCTGTTGTCAAATATAAATTTTATATAATGATTAGAATGAAGGGGTTTCCATATTTGGAATTTGAAGAAAAGTCAAGTGGGAATATCATTTTAAACAAGTATACTTGCAAAATTAGTTATATTATACTTTTCCTTATGACCATTTATTTCTGCCAGATATACTTTGCAGTTTGATCATATTCATGCCTAGTTAAGGAAAAAGGCAACACATTTCTAGTTAACAAATGAATACCATTTTTTTTATGCCAGACAGAAGTGGCTAGGTATTATTTTATCAGATGACATATGAGTTACTTGGTAAGAACCCCAAATTTGCCAAGAAACAACAAAATTCTAATAATAGCATTTATAAATTGAATACAAGTTTTCCTTTTTCCACATACAGGCCCTTTAATTGGTTTAGCAAAACAAAACATGATTGACAATTGAACAATCTTCCAGAACTTTCTTATCGCATAACTTTTTAGTAAGCTTTTAACTCTCCCGTATTACATGAAATGCAGCAGGAA